TTCCTCAAAATGGCTTATTAGTTACCACAACAACGTCGTAGATGACTCAACTAAACTTTTCATTTGAGGCAAATAGGCGTTTCCAGAAAAACAGAATTAGTTATGGCAACAACTAATGCTTGCTGTCCTATCGTACTAAAAATTTTTTCTGTAGTTACTTATTTTTTAGTAACGGCTACAATTTTTTTTCCTCAGTGCTTATTTCACTAATGCCACTGTTAGCTGAGAGGAATTTCAAGCACAGATGACCACACCAGACTGTGTTGAAATCCTGCTGGCGCTCATCGTTATACTTGATTTTGATGGCTCCAACCGACTTCGGTCCTTTCTTTGAATATTCTCTATTCCTCAGGTGGAAACAAATCACCATAGCTATTGTTATATTCAATTATCCCATTCCTCTTCTTATATGCATCCCAGTGTTTACCATCACCGCGAATACTATCGAGATTCAGTATAGCTGATTCTATGCGAGTTGGGTAGATTATCTCCCATGAAAATACCTCGAACGTGCGGCACCGCCATTTTATCTATGTAATGCAATAGATTGATGTCTGTAAGAGCTCTCCGAGAAAACTTAGCTAGTTTTTCAATGCTGGGGCTTGAGATAAATACCCATCCCTTTTCGGTAGGGCTTCAAATAGACTGCTCTGCCGACTTTTCCGAGAGCGATCGCCTCTATATGGTTATTATTCCTCAGCCAGCTGCTCCATACTCTCTTTAGCTGAATGAATAGCTCGAGCTATACCGGCACTACCTGCAACAGCACTCCCCAATGCTGATGAACCGGCAAAAATGAGTATGAGCGGAAGAATTCAGACAACTTTTGGAATAGGTATGATTCGGGGTATTTTGATATTTTTTCCCACCAGCCATCTTCACAAATTTTCGAGCAGCGCCGATCACCATCAGTGATGTTTTGGTCAAGTTTTCAATGAGTTTTCTTTCATTTCCCATTTGACGTAGTAGGGCATATTCGACGAGGAACCCCACTTGATTGAATTGCATCATTTTTGTCTGAGCGTAAGCAGTTTGTTCGCATTCATTATAGAAATGAGAGAGAAAATACAAATGTCTCATCAGCGCACTTGCGGACGTTAACATGGGGGTGCCACAAGGAACTATATTGGGCCCTATGTTATTCATGATATGTATAAATGACCCAATACCAATTTTATATTATATGCTGATAATGTATCTCTAATAATATTAGACAAGAGTGATGACAATATTGCTGCCAAGAGTAGTGTAGTACTAGACTCTCGCAGCACCTGGTTTTCTTCCAATAATCTCCACCTCAATCCAACTAAAACTAACTTGGCGAGATTTCATCTATGGCCAAGAAGTGCATCAGGACCTATAAATCTGGTCGGTGATAATGCAAATCTTGAACAAAAGAAAACTGTCACATTTTTAGGTGTCTCTATGGATGACTGTCTCAACTGTAGATCTCAATGCTCGAATCTTGTGTCAAAATCATCTCCTCTCACATTTCTATTGGGAAATATAAGATTCTTATTGAATAAACAACAACTTTTTTCTGCTCCAGTAGACTCTCGACTGAGTTATGCAGTTTGTTTGTGGGGGAATTAAGTACCAGTGATCGACGTGTTGGGAGCCCAAATGCGGATATTGAGATGTATGTTTAATAGTCTTGTAGACCGATTTTCAAGGAATGCAAAATTCTAACTGTCACTGGTATTCATATATTTGGAATATGTGTGTTTGTTCTTAGGGATAAAGAGAAGCTTAATTTTAATAGTGACCTTTATAATTATCATACTAGGCAGAAAAATAGTTATTATGTACCCTTTGCAAAACTCAAAATCAGAGAGAATGCGCCAAATTTTTTAGCACTGAAGCTTCTCAATAGACTACCCAATAATTTGAAGAATATCGTGAAGAAACTGTTTCAAAAACCAACTTAATGAATTCCTGGCATCATTATGTAACTACTCCCTGAAAGATTATGTAACTTGAGGATGCAATAATATTTCACTGTTTTGTTCTCTTGACTATTCCTATATGGTAACTATCAAAAGGGAAATGCAGTTGAATATTTTTATTATTATCAACATTTTGAAATCTCATTTTCCAATTTGGGAGAAGCATGACAAAATAGGTAGGACTCGATGTATTAAGTGTTTCAGCATGCAACTATTAACTTTAGTCGAATCTAGAGGTTACTTTAATTAGGTGGCACAAAATTTGAAAAACAAAATTATTTGTCATCCCCAAATGGCACTTTTTCATTTTCAATCCATAAAATCATCAACTATTTCTTTTTCTCCTAATTTTCAAATCCCAACCCGACTGAAAAACTACAGAACAGAACGTATTGGGACAAAATATTATTATCAATGACTAGCTTTAAATACCCTGTATGTGTAAAAACATTATCATAACATTTGTTCATCGCAGTACATTTGAAACAACAATTATGAAAATGGAGAATAATGCTCATTTCGACGAAAAAATTATAATTTTTTTTTAAACAATAATTACGTTGCCACAAATGTACATTTCAATGGCTAAACATAACAGAGAATAAAAAAACTAGAACTTTATTTATCCGCATCGAATTTTGTTTTCAGTTAGAGGACGTTCAAGCAGTCTGTACGGGTTTGATATCCCGAATCGTTGTAATTGTCAAGTTGGCTGATGAGTATAATTTTGACGCTAGTTGATAAGTTTATACTTTGTTGTTACTTGTGTTTTGTGTTGTAACGTTATTTGTTGATAACAGTTATTGCTAACTCAATGACTCACAAGTTTGATAATAATGAAAATGTTGTATGTCTTTTTTTTTATTTATCGCTTGGAGCGCACGAAAGGGAATCCCTATAATGTTCAAAGAACATCGTGCGTTCCTAGGGAGGATAGGGATAGGAGGTAGGTATTGGAATTTTTTTTGAACTTCTGGAGATTATACAGGGTGTAACTGAATAAGTGTAAAACATTTAAGGAGGTGATTCCTCATCGAAAAAAAGATAGGATCTTGCATATAAAGAAACTTCATTGGAGCATCCCTTGTTAAGATACAGCCCCTTAAAGGGGTTGCGTTTTTCACCCCTTACAACCATGGGGTAAATCAAATAAATTACTGGCTAAGTGTCTTTTTGGTAGTACAAAACGTCAGGTTAATTTCAATATTGTAACTTTTTCAGTGTTTGTGAAAAAAATTGTTATACAAATTTTATGTACCCCCTTTAAGGGGCTGTATCTTAACAAGGGATGCTCCAATGAAGTTTCTTTATATGAAAGATCCTATCTTTTTTTCGATGAGGAATCATCTCCTTAAATGTTTTACACTTATTCAGTTACACCCTGTATATATGTTGTTGGGAATACTTCCTCAGGCAAGCCAATGAATTCCAGAGCCTATAGCCGTTCTATGGATGAAGGAGTTTTGATAGAGTGCTGTTCGATATCTTTCGAGGTTGACAACGAAAGGATGTGCTGACTGGGCTTGTCTAGTTCGCCTGACTGGTATTGCTAGTGAAGGCATGATAGCAGAGATTTCCGAAGCACATTTCCCGTGGAAGTATCGAAAGAAAAGTGAAAGGTCGCCGACCTTTCTACGGTGTTCCAAAGATGTCAAAGAGTGAGTGAGTGTGGCGTCACCCACCAGGCGGATGGCTCTTCTCTGGATGGAATCTGAGAGCATCAGCGTATGTTCTGGTGCTGAACCCCATATGTGAAAACAGTATTCTAGAACAGGCTGTATCTGCGCTTTGTAGATCATGAGAAGCTGTTGAGGTGTAAAGTAGCTTTTCGCACGGAACAAGAATCCAAGTTTTTGTGACGCAGCTTATGATGATGATTATCCCATGAAAGAGTGTTGCTGATGGAAATACCGAGCATAGATATGGTGGGCTTGGTGGAGATGGTGGTGCCAGACATTACAATGACGGGCATACTGAGTTCCGCCTTTCTAGAGAAAATACAGGCTTGAGTTTTGGTGGCGTTGAATTCAACTAGGTTGTTGGTTCCTTAGGCAGTGATTTCAGCAAGGCCTTCATTTATAGCATTGTGGATTTAACATACAATTTGTAGCAACGATATTTTTGTTCGAAATAAAGTTATACTTTTTTCGAAATTGGCATCGTTCAACATTCCCATAATTGTTGTTTTGAATGTAGTGTAATAATTAAATGTTATGATAATTTCATGATAATTTTCTTACAGTCGAAATGAGTTAGTCATTCAAAATAATAATTTGTCCCAAATACGGACTTGTCCTCTCGTTTCCAATTAAGTTGGGATCCAAAAATTAGGAGAATGAGAAATATTTGATGATGATCTCATAATTTATGAATGCAAAAGTACCATCAGGGACCACACAAGATTTTGTGTCACCTTATTATTGAAATCTCTAGATTTGACCCAAGTTAATAGGTCAAAAAGTTGTATGCGGAAATACGAAATATATTCAATTTCACTCATTTTTTCTTGCTCTTTCCGAATTTGTAAATAAGATTTTGAAATATTGATATAGAGGGTGTTGTTTCGACTCGAAACCTACATATAAATTTTTTCAAGGCCGTCCCTGGAATAAAACTTCTTTCCATTATGTCAATCGTCACCACTGTGGACAAAGAATTAACATACGATTTGAATATCAAAAAAATGTATCGGGTGTTTCATAGGTTATGATTAATTGAAAATATGAGGGTATAATCAATAAATCACCCTGTATCTTGGTTATAAAGTATGATAGACCCATGAAATATGGATTATTCAAAAGCACCTCGGTGTCCTCCATCTATCCTTACTGTATGAGCATTTTTCAATGAATCGCCCTTTGTTTATCTCAGTTTGTTATCATAATTCGGTGTAATAAATCTTATGGACACACCATCACCTTTTAAAATTTATATTTCATTCAATACGTTCCGAAATTACTCAAAAAATGAAATTCCATAATCACCGACTCTACTCTACGACCTTCCTCATATAGGAAGAAAAATCATTACACAATTCTTACTATCCGCGTTGAATGAAAGTGCACTATTTGCGAAGAAAAATCGAACTTCTAATATCAAGAGAGGTCATTACTTCACCTATATAAAGCTAGGCGTATCAACTGAATGGTATAGCAGTCGTTCCTTGTGTCCTAGCTACATCTCAATATCACCATGAACTGTCTTGTAAGTTCTTTTTTTTTTCATTTCAGCTTTTGCGCTTAATTTTAGTTCCATTTACTCGCAATAATTAACTGATCAACAAAATAAACGTCGTGGTCCAAAATAAAGACTGATTTCAAAATCGAACTAGTCATGGATCCCACAACTGATTTCTATTCGGTTTTCATAGTTGGCTAGCCCAATTTTTCAGTTACTCTTCAGAAAACTATGAGACGATGAACATTTCAGATGAGCAATCCACAGGTTGCTGGTAGAAATAGTGTAAAAATTACAGCTGTGTCATCACCTTCCCGTTTGAGCAAATATTTTTCATAAATCATTCTTCGACCATGTTCATGAAGCTTGATGTTGTCTCGATTGATTTCATGGTTTTGACGAAATTTGCATTTGAGTAATTTCAGAACATAAACAATAATTATTAAATTACAAACTTTGTCGGAACCATGAGAGTGAATCGAGTGTTATCAAGGGTACTTCTTTGAAGTAAATGAGTACCCAATCCAAATTTCATACTCAAACCCCTTTTCTGCCATTGGCGTAGAATTTTTAAAGGTGCAATTATTCAAAAAATCAAGTTCTACGCCTATGGCAGAAAACTGGTTTGAGTATGAAATTCGGATTGGGTACTCATTTACTACAAAAAAGTACCCTTGATAACACTCGATTTACTCTCATGGTTTTGACAAAGTTTGTATTTTAATAATTATTGTTAATGTTCTAAAATTACTAAAATGCAAATTCCGTCAAAACCATGAGACCAATCTAGTCTTATCAAGTGTGCCTTTTTTGAAGTAAATGAGTTGCGCAATCTAAATTTCATGCTCGAACTCCTTTTCTTCCATTGGCGTAGAATTCTTAAAGGTGTAGAAATCACGATTCAGACAAATTTAATGATACGTGGTATTGTATTGTATTGTATATTGTATTTCAAAAAACCCAAGTGTTAACATGAAGAAACATCAATTATTAAATACTTTTATGAAGATGAATTCCGTCAGGTGCTTCATTTATAAACTTCAATATTTTTTCTTTCAAGAAAATGTTTGCCTATTTTGGCCTAAATCCAATGTTTTGTTTTTTTATACAGGGTGGCCCACGGTCGATGGTACCTTAGACGTATACGGGAAATGGTACATCGGATTATCCCGAAAATTTGGTTACTCTAATAAGCGTTTGTGATCTAACAATTCAAAATATTCCCAGCGATGCAGCATTGCCACTTTTACCTAAAAGTAGCATCATCTTTGTTATTTCAAAAGGAACACCCTGTATTTCATTGCGTTTTTAGATTCTTCTCGAAGAGCTGATTTCATCAATGCATCACACTTGGGGTCTAGCAGGAATAATTACAGAGATATAGGGTGTTCAATATCGAGATTTTTCAATTTCAGGAATTTTTTGTGTCGAAACTATTCATTATCGATTAAAACAGCTCACATATCCCTATCTTAACTTTTGATTCACTATCTACTGACATTTAATTGGAACAGATACAGGGTGATCAAAATTCTGAATCTTGGACCATCCTGTATTTTTTCCAATTAAATGTCGGTAGATAGTTAATCAAACGCTAATATAGGGACATGTAAGCCGTCTTGACCAATGATGAATAGTTCCGACACAAAAAAATCCTAAAGTTGAAAATTCTCGATTTTGAACACCCTATATCTCTGTGATAATTCCTGCTAGACCCCAAGTGTGATGCATTGATGAAATAAGCTCTTCAAGAAGAATCTAGGAACGCAATAAAATACAGGGTATTCCATTTGAAATAACAAAGATGATACTACTTTTTGGTAAAAGTGGCAACGCTGCTTTGCTAAAAATATTTTGAATCGTTAGATCACAAACGCTTATTAGAGTAACCAGATTTTCAGGATAATCCAATGTACCGTTTTCCGTATACGTCTAAGGTACCATCGACCGTTGGCCACCCTGTATATGCCGTGACCTTAAAAAACTTGCTCAAATCGAGGTTTTCCTTCAGTTTGATTACACTTTTTAACATTGAGTACCACCTGGACCAAAAAGCGAAATGAGCCAAAAAACGTCTTCTTTGATATATTTGATTCCCTTATTCTGGCACCAGTTTTCAAACAAATTATATTCCTTTTTATACCTGTGACGGGATTTTGATGGTAGTAGATCCAAGTTTGCAGTTCTAGCCGCCTCCAAAACTGAGTGCAGAAAAGTGACTCTTTCAACACTGAAATGAGTGCGGAAAAGTTCACTTTTCCGCACGCTAGTATAAAAAATGTTTTTCTTCTGACAATACAAAGATCGTTCGATTATTATTTCATTGCTCTTCCAGCTCGTCGCCGTATTCGCCATCTTGGCCGTCAGCGCCAACGCAGGAGTCCTGGGCGGACTCGGCTGGGGCGGCCATGGTTTGGGCGGCTTGGGTGGTTTGGGCGGCTGGGGCGGACACGGTGCCGGCTTGGGCGGCTGGGGCGGTCACGGAGCTGGCTTGGGCGGCTGGGGCGGACACGGAGCTGTCGTAGCTGTTAGCCCGTGGGCACACAGCCCCGTTGGGCCCTCTGGAGTCGTTACCGGAGCGGGAGCTGCGGGACCTTCCGGAGTTGTCACCGGAGCCGGTGCTGTAGGGCCTTCTGGTGAGTAGCTGTTGCTCAAGGAACTATCAGGATTCATTCAGCATAGAATTAAGTTCACTATGGAAGTTGAATCACAAAACCAATTACCTTTCTTTGATCTTTTAATCCACAAATCTGACAAATTTGAATTTTCCATATACAGAAAACCTTCTTCTAAAGACAATATTATACCTTTTCACTCCTTTCACCCACACAACCATTAATTTGCCTCGTTTCATGCTCTTTTTCACAGATTGTTCACTATCCCACTCAACGCCCAAAATTTCAACTCTGAATTGAACATTATTAAGCAGATCGCATCGAATAACGATTTTCCCATTCCACTTATCAATAAACTTTATTTTAGATTTTTGAATAAATTCTCGAACAATTTCCTTATCAATCATGAACCTCCTACAACAACAAAATTCTTCTCATTAACTGATTCGGCCCTGTTCCTTTCAAAATTAAAGAAATTTTCAATAAGAAACTCAATAAAAACTATACCACCCATTTCACGTTCTCTTTCAAAACCTCAAACAATCTGAGTTGTTCATTAGTCAATACTAAGGACCCTATACCTGATTTTGAAAAATCTGGCGTCTATTTATTGACATGCTTTGAACCTAATTGTAAGGTATGATATATCAGTCAGACAGGTCGCAAATTCAGAACTAGAATCACAGAACATGTATGAATCATGGATATTAATTCTGAAAAAGATTTCATCAATACCAATTCACTATTCCCAAATCACATAGTCAATGAAAAACATTCCTTCGATCCAAATTTGAACCTTAAATTCTTACACTCTTGTCATAAAAGTAAAAAACTCAACTTACTTGAAAATTTTGAAATTCATAAGGCCTTTAAGAATCCCGAGAAAATGACTCGTATCAATGAACAGACTCATTTTGACTGTTCTAAGCTTTTCAATTGTCTTACATTTATCAATACTTAATAACAAAAATTATTCAATTCCATCTGATAGGACTGATCCAATGCCTAAAATTTACCAATAGTTCCATGAACCATAAAATTGTTTTTGCTCTCATCTTGATTTCACTATACTCTCCCCATCTCTAGCCTTTTTATTGTTCCACGTCACCTCTGTCACTTCATGTCAAAGTCATGCAATTCCTTTGATTTTTGACTTTTCATTTTCCTTGTCTTTTGAGAGTTTGGCATGAACAGATAATAAGTTTGTAGATTTTCTCCAAATACTCATTACCATGTTATTTAAAGTTCCCTAACAAAGGGGTTCCGCAATAATTGCGGTCCCCATTTAACCTTTTCATGATTTTTTAAAAATATTTTCACCAATATGAATTATATGTAAACATAAATTTTTTCCTCCAGAACAGGTGAGTTTTTTAGACCTATCGGTGTTGAGGAGTTTGTCTGACATTATTCTTTTTTCTCTCACTTTAGTACTCCTATGTAACAATAATGCTGATGATGAAGCTTTAAAGCTTCGAAGCATGTCCCTGTATGATTGCTTACATTAAAGTATAGCTTTGGTGGAGTCGACTGTAAGAATTTTGTCCTGTCCTACTATCAGGATTGTTTCATTTGGTAGAATTCATAAGGAAATGTTTGAATGCTGAACATTATAATCGCAGTGATATCCTAGTAAAAGTGAAAATACCTTGAAAATTATTCATATATATGGTGTAATTCAATTGATGGCTGAAAGTTTATAGGATATGGTTTCTTAGAACATCTTAAGAAGAAAAGTTTATATGAACATATTTGCTAAACCTCTTAAGTTTCGAATTATAGGGTGTCCACATTTTATTTTCTCTTTATTGATTGAAGAAACTTTCACGTTCATGAATACTCGTCAAAATGAGACCGCAACGTAATCGATCGGATGTCATTATTTCAAAGACAAAATCTGGCATAAGCCGACTAGTCCAAAATAGTTTCGTAATGCCACAAATGCATACAAAATTTCATAATTGTTTTATGCAAAAACAATTCGTCGGACGGAGAAGAATCAGGAGGTCAGATTGTTGCAGAAAATGTGGATTTCAAAAATGGATTCAATTCTCGGAATAATCGAGGGCGTACCATTCTTTCTTCAAAAAATCTCGAGGATACCTCTCTCACGTACGCCACTGGTAGATTCATCAAAAAATATTCCGCATCGAAAAATGCCTATTGTTGCCAAGTAGGTGCATGTGAAATTTCATGGAATAATCTGGAACAGTATCGAAGATATGATAAGAAAACTATTCTTAAAATTTTAACACCGTATAGGCCGAAAGTTGAGAGGTTTGGGGCATTTTCAGCCATCAATTAACTTACACCCTGTATATAACATCCCAAACCCTCCTCAGTAACCTGATGTCCTTTACATATCTATTTCCATTTCAATACTGAATATATTGTTTTTTTATATCATTCAGCATAATATCATAATTTTCATATCGGATTATGAAGAGAATGTCAATTATCAATTTCAGAAGATTTCCATTTCCATATCCTCTTATTGGGTTTCAACAAATGTAATTCAATGTTTGATGAGGCAAATAGCCGTGAAAGTAGTTGTTCTCTGTTGAATATATTTCGAATGATATTATACACCAACATACCGGGTGTAATAGGATCATGCTACACCAACCCATTTTGATGAACTAAATTTTGTGATGAATCAAGAATTGTCATCAGAGTACATCAGACTTGATCAGAATATTTATGGCACACTCAGATGCATAATCAAAAACAAGATTGAAATCAATATTGAAGTTTGAAATATCACTCATGTGATATCATTGGATTCATCATAACATATGATAACGAATTCGAAAATGCAATGATATACAGGGTGTTTTATTTGGAAATATGTAGTTATAACGACTTGTACACAATGAAACATTTTTATGTCAAAACATGACGTTTATCAAGTTGATAATCCATTTCGCAAGACAGTTATCCATCTCTGAAGCTAAAGGAGAGAATTGGGGTGTACCATGATTGTGTTTCACTAGGTATACAATTTTATCTGAAGGAACAATTTTGTATAATCTTTTATTGGGTACTTGATAAAATATTCAACTCATATTACCCATCAAAACTGAATCAATACCGATGATATCACACTAGTGATTATGATCAGAATTTTAAATTTTTTTGCAAAGCCTACCTCACCGCAGCTCATGAATACATAATAAAGAATAATATGAGTTCTCGAATTTTCCTAAAATCATTGACAAGTTGTTCTGTCAAACAAAAAAATCTATCGATAGTTCACCTAATTTGGATACTTCAGTTCCTGTGTAGAAACTTGGCTTATTTATATATGCTACTTTCCCAACCTGAAGTATTAGTTACCTGTGGGCAGGTTCGATAAACCTCCATTTTCGGAAATAAGGCACAATATCTACATCAGAATACGGTGTACCGGTTGATATCAAAAACATATTATAACTTACTGAGAAAACAAATTCAACAGTGGTCAGCTATTCAGGTCTAATTGATCAATGAGTAAAATGTAAAAATTTTTGAGTTTGTTGATTTTTGATGATTCAAATTGATTGGGTTTCATTTCTTTACTTTCCACGTGTAGTCATTGTTTTATTAAAGAACTCGTCCTTTCATAGGAGTCGTAAACGGACATGGAGCTGTTGGACCCACCGGCCCCAACGGACACGGTGTTGCCATCGCTGCTATCCCCGCAGTAGGTCTAGGAATTGGACATGCCGGACTTGGAATTGGACACGCCGGACTTGGACTCGGCCATGCTGGTCTTGGACTCGGTCTTGGACTCGGCCATGGTGGTCTTGGACTTGGAATTCATCATTAGGGATAATCTGGACCGATGATCAAACTGCGCTGTATATATCGAATTCTGCTTCATCTCTTCTATAGTTATTTATTGTTGTAGAGACTCTTATACTTGAATAAAACAACTTGTTTTGTCTAAGTATCGAATTTTATTTTATAACACAGTAACATTTGTGAGACGTTCTAGAAATATTTGTATGGATGTGATGTGGCTGGCGATACCAGTATCAAAAACAAAAACGTCTATACAGTAAATTGTATGCATGTATCCTGAATGTCTCTGGTATGTACAGAGTGGACAAAATTGGTCGTTTTCACGGGCAATCCTAAGCAAACCATATGACGAATGATCAGGTCACTGTGACGTCCCTATCTGGTGATTTTTTGTCAGAGATGTCACACATCCCTTTATGACGTCACTATGACGTACTTTCTATGACGTGAGAATCACGTCATCATCTCGACGTCGAGTGAACGTCACTTAGAAGGGCAATATAAGACGTCACTCTCATGACATTGCAGGGGCGTCCAGGCGACGTCCATATTTCCCAGACCATATCTAAACCATGTATACTCACATTATGAAACCGTTAGTTCAGTGACGTACCTAAATATACAGGATGGGCATCTTGAGTGTCAAAAAGTTTTCAGTAAAAAACGTATTTTCATTAATTTTTCACAAATATATAAAAACTTGTACCTACGTCTTGGTAAATTCATATATATGCTTTCAATGTCTATAGAAGTATAACTCATTAAAACAAATCATCATGCAAGTTTCATTGGAATTATATGTATACCCAAGAATTATCGACACTGACAGTGAGTAAACACAAAATGATAGATTTTGCAATGGCAAACTTACACAACACCGGTTTCATATTATTTGAAGAAAGTTCCACACGGCAGGAAATGTAGATTGGACGTGCAAGTAATTTGAATAAAATTGGTCATCAAAATTTACACTATCATTGGGTGAATAAAAAATGATGCAGTCGCAACGAGAGCTCCAATTATTACCGGAAATTTATTCGAAAACACAAATAATATTTTAAATATTCTTGTTCGAGACAGAATTTTCTATTTTCGAATGAAGCTTAAGTGGTATTTGGTAAGAAAATCTCACACTGAAATTGGAAAATATGTGATAAGATTTGCTGAATATAATACAAAATACCGACTTCAGTTACGCATAATATCAATGCGTAGGTTGATGGTAGTTCAAACTAATATTCTTGACTAACTTCATCCCGCTAAAGTTGGTGGAAATATAATTTGTTACAATGAAATCGACAGTGAGTATAGTATTAATATAATTCATATCAATAACATTGTTATGTTCAATAAAACACAAATCACTCTCTTTAGTTACACAAAATAAGTCAATGATAGCTGAATTCCTCAGTTTTTCACAAATTCATTCAGCCAAAGTTGTTAGAAATATATCTCCATCTCCTCACGAGAAACTCGAAGAACTATATTCAGTATGGTTGAAATTTGCTCACATATGATCAAACGACATTAGTTGAATGGAAAAATGAAAAATAAGTCGATAGTAGCTCAATATTTCAGTTACTCACAAATTAATTTAGCTGCTCTTGATAGGAATACAGGGTGGGGCATTAGTGCGTCGGAGCTCGATTGCTCGAGTTCTATGATAGCTAGAAACCTGATTCAAAAACGAATGTGAATGAGATAGCAAGGTCCATAACTAGAAATTATTGTTGCATATACAGGACGCCCGAAAATGATTTAGAGGGTCGGGATCAATTCGTTTGATTGGAATACCCAGTATATTTGCATATTTTTTCAAGCATCCCTGTGATCTTCATCCACTCCTATAATATCGTTGACTATATCTCTTTCGTATCAAAGTTATGAATTTTAATAATGTCATCTGCAGATGCCTACCGAAAATATCACTGTTGTCACAATTATAAACTCAAAAAAAAAAATAATCTCGAAATTTATTGAAAAGATGAGTGACATTTCTGAAAATGTTTCAGGCTCTCAAATGATACAGGGTGGCTGAAAATGATTTTTTATTTGGAACTTTCCGAAGTGATATTTTTCGAGTTTTTCAAATGTAACACCCCATATATCATTTCACCATTTGATGTGAAATCGAAACAGGAACATATTTTCTCGAACATCCATATCGATATTCGCAACCATTTTTGAATTTTTGAACTTTGAAAATTTTAGGTTGGCCATTTTCATCGATTCTAATCTGTTATTGAAACATCAAAAGTTCAATCAACAATTTAGTAAACCAATTTTGTATTGAAAAAATCGATGTCAGAACCAAAGCAGACATGAAAAGGTCATAATTATGCTAAATATTCAAAAAGTAGAGACGGACACAATTTCATTTCTCAATTATTCTGGTTTTGCTTTCAATGTAGGTACCCTGAATTTATGGGATACTCGAGAAATGCAAATTTTGTCCCTTTTTTCTTTGTGAATAACTAGCATTTGAACTTTTTCTGTTTACTTCGATTCTGGTATCGATTCTTTCTTTGAAAAAATTGGTTCACTAAATTAATAATTGGACTCTTGATGTTTCAATGACAAATAAGAATCTGAATCGATCACAATCGCCAACCTATAATTTTCAAAGTTCAATAATTCGAAAATGGTTATTAATATCGATATAGATGTTCAGATAGATATATGTTAGTGTTTCGATTTTACATCAAATGGTCAAAAAATATATGTAGTGTTCCATTTGAAAAACTCGTGAAAAATCACTTCGAAAAGTTCCGAACATTTTCAGAAATGTCACTCATCTTTTTAATAAATGATATTGAGATTATTTTTTCTTAAATTTCATAATTGTGACAACAGTGATATTCTCGGTAGGCATCTGCAGATGACATTATTTCGACCAAAAAATTCATAACTTCGATATGAACGAGATATAATCGACGATATCATAGGAGTGGATGAAGGTCAAAGGGATTCTTAAAAAAAAAATGCGAATATACAGGGCATTCTATTAAAAAAAATGATCCCACCCCTCTAGATTATTTTTGGTACGCCCTGTGTATGCAGCAATAACTTCTAGTTATGGACCTTGTTGTCTCATTCAAATTCGTCTTTGAATCAGGTTTCTAACTATCATAGATATCGAGCAATCGAGCTCCAACGTACTAATGCCCCACCCTGTATATTCTCTCACAAGGAACTTTTCAACCCATAAAATCAATTGAACATAATCTGAAGTCAAGTGTTGATGTCATATTTCACTTATGAACATCAAAACATTTCTAGTGTAATTTCATGAACCTTTTTCCAACGAGAAGGAAGACATTTCCAGAAATTCGTTTAGTTGCTATGGTAACGATACAAAATACATCAGGTTTGCAATTGGTCGAAAATGTTTGGTGTGCAATTTTCAACAAAAAAATAACACATAATTGCTATCATAACATTAGGAGAAAAAAAATGTTCTTTCACACGGCAGCAAATGTAGATTGACTGATGCCTTGGCTGAATAAACTGCACTCACCGGCAAAATGATCGATCCACTCAAAATATTAATATAATCTGATCAACGATAACTTCGTTGATTCATGTCTGATTCGTTCAATTTTTTTTCATTCCGTAGGTAAATTCATAAAGAATCACACACAATGTTTGGATTTTGAGAAATGAGGCATATCTTCAAATTATACAGAGTGACAAAAAAAAGTGAATTTTTACTTCAATTTTTAAACAATCTCTGGAGTGGCTTAGCTGGTACATCCTGTAATATTTCAGGCAATCATCAAGCTACGTTTATTACGAACATTTTCTTTTCTTATTTGTTAGGATAACTGCATTTTTGTGGAAGTTACAAGGGTTTCAGAAGAACGTTACATTTCAACATTTTTTTCTATGGTAATAACAAGGTTCCCCAAGACATTTTGTGCATAGCTGGCTGTGACGATCCTGTCAGTTGACAATTTGTATGCTTGTCTTAGTCATCGAATGGTTGAATAAGATATGGATCTTTCTGCAACCGACTCTGCGAGAGCTATTGCTTTGGTGCAGGATGGTAGATCACAATATTATATGGCCAGAGCTTTGGGAGTTTCAAGAACCAGAGGGTGCAAAGAGCTGTGAAACGGTTTCTTGAATTTGGTGTATTCACAAGAAGAGGTAATAGTGGTCGGAAAAAATCTACGAATGATCGAGATAACTACTTCATAACGCTCAAAGTTTTGAGGGACAAAAGACTTACTTCTGTCCAATTGAAAAACGAATTAGAGGAGGTGAGGCGAGTTCAAGTCAGCGATAGAACAATAAGAAGGAGGCTTCTCGATATTGGACCCCGAGCAAAAAGACCTGCAACTGGTCCAGAGTTATTGAGGAATCATCGAGTTAATTGATTCAGATATGCTAGGGCCGGAACACGAATACTGGGGTAATGAACAATGGAGCTATATCCTATTCACCGACGAGTCTAGGTATTGTCTCAGATCACCGAATGGACGTGAAAGAATTTACAGAAGAACTGGAGAACGTTTTCTTCAGAACCATTTTTCGCCAAGAGTGAGTTACGGAGGCGGTTCGATAATGGTGTGGGGTGGCGTGAGTTTTGAAGCTAAGACTGACTTAGTCATAGTGGAAAGGGGATCCATGACAGCTGAAAGGTATATAAGAGACATTTTAGAACCATATGTTGTTCCATTTGCGCCTTTCATCGGTGACGATTTCATGCTTATGCATGACAATGCCTGACCGCTTATTTCAAGGATTATGAATGAGTATTTAGCCGATGTTGAACTCCCAGTAATGCATTGGCCTCCTCGAAGCCCCGGTTTGAACCCAATTGAACATGTTCGGGATGCTCTCGGGAGAAAAGTACGATCTCGTTTACCAGCTCCTGCAAATTCACAGCAACTTAGTGAAGTGTTGATTGAAGCATAGCAGCAAATCGATCAGGTGTATATTTAAAATCTGATGATGGGCATGCCAAGACGAATTGCATCAATAATTCGTGTACGGGGGGAAAACACGTCGTACTGAGTTCATTAGCATTTTTCAAATAATTCACAGGTTTCTTTCGTTTTTTTTATCGCTTGGATCGCACGAAAGGGATTCCCTATAATGTTCAAAGAAGATCGTTCGTTCCTAGGGAGGATAGGGACAGGAGGAAGTTATTGGAATTTTTTTTGAACTTTTGGAGATTATATGTTGTTGGGAATACTTCCACATCAGGCAATGAATTCCAGAGCCTAGCCGTTCTATGGATGAAGGAGTCTTGATAAAGTGCTGTTCGACATCTTTCGAGGTTGACAACAAAAGGATGTGCTGACTGGGCTTGTCATGTCGGTTATGTTCATCATTGCCTGATTTGAAATGTTTATTATCGCCAAAATGTGTGAATGTAATGTTTTTTTGAAACCCTTGTAACTTTCATAAAAAAGCAGTTATCGTAACAAATAAGAAAAGAAAACGTACGTAATTAACGTAGCTCGATGATCAAATGAAAAATTACAGGATGTACCAGCATAACCACTCCAGAGATTGTTTTGAAATTGAAGTAAAAATGCACTTTTTTTGCCACTCTGTATAATCTGAAGATATACCTCATTTCTAAAAATCTTAAGATTTTGTGTGATTCATTATGAATTTACCTACGGAATGAAAACAAAATTTAACGAATCAGACATGAATTACCGAAGTTATCGTTGATCAAATTTTATCTATATTTTGAGTGGATCGATTATTTTGCCGGTCAGTGTATAAGCCGCGGCAGTAATCTACTACTTCATAGCTGCCTAGTGAAACAAATAACTATTTCAAGATACAGAATGTGGAAATGAGAGAAGAAAAATTATCCTCCAGAATATTCTGCATATTCATTAATATTGCCAACACGACTACGTTTGAAATTTTGAAAACCCGGAACATTAGTCGGAATATTAGATGTAAAATTCTGAGATATTATGGTCGCCATTATAGAAGCCCGAGTTATAAATCAGAATTCGGAAGTGTTCTAATATTTTTGATTTGATGATGATTTCAAATCACATTACTAGGAGAAAGAGGGTGAACGATTCATGATGATAGTTAAATTTTGATTCGACTATTTCGTGTCAGTCGAAGATCCTGTCCACACTCTGTACTTTCTGAAATTGGTACATAACCTGATTGTCAGAAAATAAATGATTTCAGCGGCAGACAACAAGGAAAATCCGGTGAAGAGTCCCAGAAGTCCGCCAAAGTTAGCCAAAAAGTCTGTAGGGCCGTAGAGTTCGTTTCTCTGAGAGGTCAAGAAGGATTCTTGTTTGAAGAAAATCGACAACTTCGCGAACCGTAATCTGAAAAAAAAATCAAGGATCAAAAAATCGGATAATATCATGAAAAGAACTAGCCAGTTTCACCAAGAAGACACACCTATCGAACAATTCATCTTTCAAAAAGAAGGACATAACTGATTTCTCGGAAATATCTCATCATTTTATATTGAACTAGCAGACCTCGCGAACGTTGTTTTGCTATACAGGCTGATTTTAAAATAAGTGCATATATTTTAAACACTAAGAAAGCTTGAGGTATACTACCGAATAGCACTATTAAAAATATTATTAGGATCAAAATAGATTTGGGGCAAAATACCCTTTTCCCGCCCAGATTTCTACTTCTGTCACAACTATCGTTTGCGATCCGCAGTCGACCGTGATGAACGAAGCGACGTTGCCACTCTACATGACAATTAGGAGATATTAAATAAAATGTATAATCGAGAAAATGTACATGGGGAAGAAGTTAACCCTGGTCTTGAATTTCAGAAAGATAATACAAAAACTTTAAAATGGACTCACCCAAGATTTGTACACATAAGCTAGAAAAGCGTATATCTTAACACCTCCCCTTGGAAGTTCTTTTACTGAAAAATCCGTTAGACCCTTCCTTCCACCTCCTTGCATCGCTACAATTTCGTGTCATTCGAGGAGTCTCATGGGATGGGCCCCGCACAATAACGACCCGACATAAGAACCATATCATTCAGCTCAATGTTTGAGAAATGCATCGTCACTTTCCAAGCAAATTGTCAGAAACAAAACTTTACATTTACTAGTCAGTGTTGTTCCTGGGTCTGATTTTTTCGTAATAGATTTCCTTGGAAAAAGGTATCAGATTTGTATCAAAAGGTAATAGACTCGAAAAATCTGACATTTGACATTCGGAATGTCATTCTTGTCAAACCCTATCGCACTAATCACAGTTTTGACATAAATATAGAACATAGAACGGAACATAATTATCCGCTGAGAACAGAAATAGATTTTTTAGTATTGGAACATATTTTGGTGCTAATAGCAAATAGTGATAGAATCATGACAAATCGTAATATCGTAACAATCTTCGTGAAATAGTAATAGAACGCGAACAATCCTAGTTAGTACTGTCAAAGGTCACAGCAAAGAGGAAATCTATGGTCACAGATAGTCAGATACTGCTGTTTTGAGAAATGATGTTGACAGATCATATGATAATAGTTTTGTTTATGTGGGCTGGTTTGTAAAATAATTGTAAACGTAAAATAAAAAATAAAAGAATTGGATGGAATGGACTCGATATTAGTATTTGTTTGCTCTCGGGAGTTTTGCTGTTCGAGCAGGTATGAGAAAATCTACTAGGTGAGTCGATTTTCAACTTTGTGTATGTTGTGTACCTATTTATTGTCTGCTAATTCTGTATCTACCCGCTGGGGCCTTTTTTTCGAATTGAAGGAAGGGGGACGTTCATTCCCCTCATGTTTCTCTCCGTCTCTCGTGATCCATGGAGATAATCACCCCACAGTTCTCACAGTGAACTTTGAAAAATAAGGCTCCTGTACATATTACATTCACCTCTATTAGTTTCTATAACCTATTTCAATTCATGTTCATTCTGTGACAAATTCTTATCAGGATATTCGTCTCTGAAACAATCTGGCATCACTGTCTTGTTTTGACTTCAGTGAATGACGAATTGTGGATTCCCTAGGATTCCGCAGATTTCACTTGCTTCCCAGTGGCGTACTCGAATTTCGAAGCATTTTATGTTCAATTTTCAAAATGAAATTTCTCGTTAATGTAAAGACTTAGGAAAAATCAAATATTTTAGTAATTTTTGTTAGACTCTCTCATATATATGTCTTGAATATATGCACTCATTTTAAAATCAGCCTGTATATACATCATTTCAATAATAAATTTTCTCAGTTCAATATTCATCAAGACACTATTATTATTTTATTTTCTTCTTCTTTTTAGTTTCGCTATACCGGGTGACACAGGAGACATGTAGCAGCCTGTAGTTTTTTATTTGAAAAGATAAAATGTTGAAATTCACAGGGCGTACATAATAAATGGTAGCGCACTTTACGAACTTAACGACAATTTTTTTCAACCATCTGTTTGACCGGAAGTGACCCCAACTTTTTTTGTTTTCAAATGTCACCCTGTACATTTCTTCAGTCTATCTTTTTTGTTTTGAAAGTCTCTATCCAACCATGTATCACAAAGTGGCATTCATTCCTTAATTTGCTGTTGAATTGCTTGTTATTCAAAAAGAATAAGTTGGCTGTGACATGAATACGATGATATATAGACACTTGGTAGGCTTTGAAATTTGAAGATCATTAGTAAACCGATTTTATTCAAAATGTTTTGATATTCTGATCAATGTCTGCAGGTTGTCAATAGCTTGTTTGAGTCAAGATGAAAACCTTCGAAAATAACTCATGATATTGAGGAATCTAAGATAGGAACATATTTTTTCGAATTCAGCTACTCGTACAGAAACTATCCTGTCTTTTATTTTCGCCATGTACCTATCACATGATCTTTCCATTTGGAATGATAAAACTAAAATTGTTCCTCTTATACGATGATTCACAGGGCTATCAGTCCATTTTTTCATAATTATTTCACTTAGTAGGCGGTATACCTACACAAAATGTTCTATGTGTTTGACAGTTAATCGATTGCATCAATAATTTTTCTTCTTCATTTGTGTGTTGATTAAAATTGCATATTATCAATAGAGACGGGAAATGTATTCAGGAAACGAAAAAGTCGATATGTTGTATTTTGTTGTTCCTGTTTTTTATATAAACCGCTCAACACATGAAACGTAAAATCGCATGTTTTTTATCAAATTTGAATCATCATAACTTTCGATTTCCTGAACCGATTTTCAATCATTTTTCATTTTCTGAAAGCTCGTTTCATTGACTATCGAACCTATGGATATGACTATTTTATCATTTCCGGATGAGATTCTACAGGATGATAACCAAAGCTGTGCATTTTTCCAAAAATTCCAAAACGCCTTCCGTTTGAGAGAACAAAATCCTATTTTTATTTTGGGTCAAAACCATATTCCTCGATATAGTTTCCCGATATTGTGAAAACATTTTTGGAATTGTCACACGCGTTACTGAAATATGAATGTTTAATTAAAATAATGCATAATTTAAAGCTCTAATTTCTATTGGCTTCGTGTTTCTGTCAATCTAGTTCGAACGGTGGTCGAAAATCTTGGAATGATGCATGATCAACCTATCTTTATATACATGGTGGTCCTCAAACGACAATTATAGACTGTTGGCCCGCGACACAGGGTTTATCGATGTTCTAAGTCGGTATGCCATTTAAGGGACCCAGTCACTCAGTCCGAGTTAACAATAAGAAGTGCCTCGGAGAGTCGCAACTCAGTCCTTGCCCCGGCCCTGTCCTCACCTTTCGGTTGGAAAAACGTTCAAAATTTTGTTTAAGAAGATGCTCGGCAATGAAGTGCAATGATCTTATCTCACGAAAATTGGGGCTCTTGCCGGTTTGCATACGCCTAGGTCACTCCCCAAGGGCGGCATACGAACCGGAAGTGGGAATTTTTCAGTGTTATAGTCGATGATCGAAGAATGTATGCCCCTTGGCGAAACAATGAATTCTGACCCATTAATCAGTTTCCCGACATTTGCAGACGATTCCGGAGAGGGGAGCTCGATTTATTCGAACATCATTTGACTGGATATTCTTCAAATAATCGATAATCGAAGAAATGTTCAAATTTTGCAAATGGTTAGTGGACCACACAGTATATATGAGATGATAGTTTGCATACAATTTGCACATTCCGTACAGGGTGTTTCACCATAAATATCTCCCATTGTAACTTAGTTGTTTCTGAACCGATTTTAAAATTTCAAAAACCAATTAAAATGATTTTCCTAAGAGATTTTCCATTTTTATCAAGAAATTCACAGGCTGTTCATAACAAATGAACTATATGGGATAGTGGTTGATTTTTTTTACTGGACACTATATTTTATTTCACTATCGAGTTGAGATTATCATGACATATACAACTCTACAGCATCTAGCGATATCATTTACACGCAGCACTCTTATATATAGCGATCATGCGCCAAATTGTCAAATTGTGCCAGAAATATGAATCCCGGGTTTGAAGTATTTCCTTCTTTTTTGTTGAAACAATTTTCATATTTGAACAATGATTTGCTGCGTCAGCCGGGTAGAGTGTAGCACGTAATGATTTAGACATTCAATAATGTTCTTCCTCTTTATCGGAGATCCGATATTTAAATATCTGAAAAACCATTTACTTTTGTATAATGTATATTACAGATTTATTCACTTCCTACTGCCATCCCTACCAGTGGTATGAATCGGATTACCATTAACCCTGTATTTAAGTGCAGCGTGTGAATCTTATCGCTAAACGCCAGTCAACTATACTGGGTTTGATGAAGTTATGTCATTGTCAGTTACATAAAAAATAATGAAGGGGGCTGGGCCCTTGATACTTTTTTGGGTACGATTTCAATTGGTACCTTGGTGAAGCTCTTCCAGCAGAGGTTGGTGATATCATAATCTCTGAGACTTCAACGGAGAAAGTAGGTATCAGGTATATCTTTCGAGCATGCCAAGATTTTTCAACTAACAGGTACTGATGACAACTCTGGAGAATCATCTTCAGACAGCGAGAGCAAAGATGACTCTGAAGATAATGATAGAGAGGACGACGTATAATTTTTCTTTTGAAACATAATGTTGTTTTCATTTAATATAATTTCATTTTCAAATAATTTTTTTTTATGTGAAAAACAAAGATGTAGATTAAAGTTCAGGATACAGACCCCATACTATACCCAAAACATTCAACAAATTGAATGTACATTCTTTATATATTTTTCAGACGCCAGTATTATGATAAGCAGTTTCATAAGCCCCAGGGCAAAATTTCAATTCGATTTATTGTTTCGATCATGAGCAATAATCCCTGTACGAATTCTCTTGATCATCCTGCG